ACAGGTGTGGCTAAATACACGGCCGCTGGTCCGTCCCACAGTGCACGGCACCACTAATTTTCGAGCCCTTTCGTTACCACTGACTATACGGCTGGGCGCGCCCGTATAAACATTCGCAAGAAATTTTCATCACGGCGGAATTGTCATCTACCAAGGTTCTGTATTTAAACAGGCCTAGACTAGACTCGATTGGGGTAAAGATGCCCTTCTCTCGGTTAGGGAGTCAGGGTGAGGCGTGGATTATGGTATTAGAGGGACCCAATATGATAGTCTGATTAAACATATATATATGCAACAAGAGTTTCTCTAAGATTAAATGGAAAGAACGGACTGTACTTTAGGGGGAAGTGCCCGCTGTCGGAATGGCATGTCCTTCAGAGATCTGCCCTCTTCGATCACAACTCGGCTCGACCGCTTCCCCTTCCGATCTGTCTTCACCTCGACCGTCTTGACTCTGATTGTCTTGGGGACTACATATCGTTTCTTTGCAGAGATAGCGAGAGGTTCCCATGTCTGGCGCTTACCCTTTGGCAATTGCCACGGTCGAACGCGTGCCAGCGCAGCCTTGGAGGTTTGTAGACTGCCCTTGAGTGAACCCGCGGTCACTTGTCCAGGCTCTCGGTTCCACACTCGTTCCCATATTTGTCGATTCTGATGTCGAACCTCCGCGCGGACCTTGCCCGTCTTGGATTGTTCCCGGTGATCCTGTCGTCGCTTCTCCTCGCTCATATCTTTGACAGCATCTTCCACCAATAAAGTGTTCTATTTAATCAGAGGGATGATCATTGAGATTAAGCGTGTTGTGTGAGGTGGAGGGGCTCACTCACCAGGTATTCAGCGGCTTTCTTACCAAGGACCTGGCGATCCGCGGATGGACGGTAGCGGAGAATTTTCTGAACCGTCTTTCTGGTCCCATCATGAAGGAATCCTGCGTTTCCTCCCAATACATCAATGTTCTCGACTCCCTGTTCGATGCCTTGATATAAACCAGTGTGTTCACCTCTCTCTTTCCAGCCCATCACCTCCCACCCCACTTTACGCGCCGTCATTTCAAATTTCGTATCCCTGGGACCATCTACCAATTCAAGCACGGCCTTGGGCGCGTTGTCCCCAGGCCGGTGTCCATAATTGTATATTCGCGTGTAACCACCTGGGCGCTGCCTATACCGCACTGCTAATGTCTCGAATAACTTCGGCATTAATCTAGTAGAAGTGAGGAAGGCTTGTGCCGTCGACCGGTTACTCTCGCTTCCCTTTTTCCCTAGCGTTATTAACTGGAAAGGAGGTCACTATCAGGGAGTATCATCATAGAAAAAAGTTATATACCTTTTCTGCCAATCTAGCAGCCTCTTTGGCTTTTGCGACAGTGGTTTGAATTTGCTCATGCTCGATAAGTGACGAGACCATGTTCCTGTCGTTCGCATTAGTTTTTCGCAATAGCCAATGACACTCATAAGCACCTTAACATGAGCATTCTATGAGAAGAACTCCTTGAAAGAGTTCTAAACGCGACTCCATGTCTCATATTGGATGGTCGGAAAAGTTGACCTTGCTTGCTTTGTTCAATATTTTCGTCCTACTGCAGCCATGTCCGGTCTCTTAGCCAGACGCACAGCACACGCTTCTCGACGCATTTTACGAGGCCAAACTGCATGGTATAATGGTGCTACTGATCGACTTGCCCTCGAAATTCGTCTGGCCTCTCAAGCCCGCCACGAAGCAACATTGGAAAGAGAACAGATATTGAAAGAAAGGCAAGAACAAGAACAAGAAAAACCACAAGAACAGATGGAAGAGAATAACGAAAACCTAGTGTTGGTTCAAAGACCGAATAGAGGAGAGCTTTTGACATATCGAGCTCAAGAAGCACCTCCCGACCAACATACAGGAGAAACCCTGCCTCCAGATGATCTTGAGAAATTTCCTCTCCTTCCTCGAAAGAAATTAAGGGCACTTGTGTCCTTGTATCACCAAAGCTCTACCTTCATCACACCAGAAACACTTGACCGCCATATCGAGAAGGAGTTTGCCCTCGACCCGAGACGACCAGTACATCTAGACCAAGCTTTACTAAAGAAAGAAGCCGTGTGGAAGAACTCAAACCCTGAAATGACGACCAATGGGCTCCACACTCTG